ACAACTTCGTATGAAATCGTATAGTACGGGCCAGACGACAAATCAGGTACCACGATTCGTATGTAGATCGTACATAATCGTATATGATTTCGTACGATTCGTATACGATTTTGTACGATCGGATAGTACGATTCAATCACCTGGGTGTTAGAGAGAAAGATTTTCCTTTTTTTTAAAATTATAACGTTATATTTAAAAAGATATTCTATGAAAAACATATTGTTCTTTCTTTTCAGAGTTTATATCGTACGTACGTCAAACATTTGATAGATGATAAAAAAACGGAAGAAGCCGTTAAACTATTTCAAGAAGTTTATAAGACCTCAGAAGAATGGGAAAAACAAATTATTGCTTTTTTACAACGAAATGAATTACAAGTAAATGAAGTAATTTTGAGTCTTTTATCGTTTAAAATTAATTTTTTCAATCAATTTAAGGTGATAACTCCTTATATTCCAACTACAACAATAAAACTAAGTCCAGTTGTTTATGAACAAGTATTAAATGAATATTTAAATCAGAAAAAGTACGATGTGAGTGAGTGTATGATTCTGAAATCTTTTAACATCTTGCTTAGATTACAGAATAAAAAAAATTGATTTTAGATATTGAAACAATTATTAACAGAATGGCCATCAGAATTGTACGATTTGAATTGTATTGAAAGAAAAATTCGTTTACAATTGACAGATGAAAATACATCAGTAACGTTATTAGAATGTTCGGCAATCATGTAAGTATTACATGAAAGATATTTGCCTTTGTTGAAAAAGTATAAGGTTATTCCTAATTGATCTACTAATCAAGAATATATCAATACGAGAAGTTCAGACCTACTAACTGTATATTATTGAATGAGACTTCGAACCGATTTATTCAATAACTGGATTAAAAACAATACGAAATTTGGGCGTGATCAATGTGTTTTCTTTCGTTTATTTAGTGCTGAAAAACAAGGAAATGTGACGAAGACTTTAGATATCTATTTGAAGTAATTGATATCATCTCATAAACATGTTCTAATTTATATACATCTCGTGTTATCCTACTGTTTTTAGAATGAAGAATCCACAAGCATTTGAGTTAATTGTAAGACAAAATCTTTATAAACAAGTTCTTCCTAAAGTTGAAACATTGTTGCGGATCGATAGACAAGTATGTTCTTTATGTCTACAAGACTTTTATACTTATTTATACTGTGATTATATTCTCATTTTTAGCGTGCTTTGGATTTGTTGGTACAGCATACAAATGAATTACCTGTGAGTAATAAGCCATTTTATTATATATTGACGAATATTCTTATCTTTTTTTAATTATTGAAGGTGGAACAAGTCGTTAGTGCACTGGAGAATAATCGTTTATTCCTTCATTTGGTAAATTTTAAAAATTATTTGCCAAATTATCAAAAATATGTTGGTGTTTTTTTGTCTATTAGTATTTAGATGCATTATTTAATAAGAATGCTAAAGAATCGAGCAAATACCATACACTTCAAGTGACTTTATATTCAGAATTTGATCCTGATAAATTAATGACATTTTTACGAAAAGCAACCTATAATATACCAGAAGCATTAGCTGTGTGTGAAAAAAAACGTTTATATCGCGAAACAGTATTTCTTTATGGTAAGAATTATTCACATGTTTCATTTTTCTCTTAATTTTCAAATTTTTTTTATCGTTTTTAGGTCGTGCTGGTAATCCAACAGTTGCATTACGAATTATTTTAACTGAATTAAACGATATTAACTATGCAATTGAATTTTGTCGAGAACAAGGCATTAACACTTTATGGACTCAACTTATTGAACAATCAAGAAATAAACCAGGTTAGGCTTCATAGAAAAGTAAATTTATCCCTAAGTAAAAGATTGTTCAGCGAGGGAGATCGTCGTTGACTCAAACTATTTTTTAGTAAAAAAAAATCAGAAAATTTGGTCAACGTGTCTAAGATGTTATTATTTATTTGATTTTAGCTTTTATTAGTGGCTTGTTGAATAATGCTGGTAGTGATATCAATCCACAAATTCTAATCAATAACATCAATACAAACATGCAAATACCTGGTCTAAGAGATTCATTATGTAAAATCATGCAAGATTACAATATTCAAGTATGAAAAACTGACTAAACGATGAGAAAATTAATTTATTTTGTTTTTCTTTTTACTCAGATGTCATTATCAGAATGTTGTCGAAAAATTATTGTCCAAGATTGTTTATCATTAAGAAAAAAAACAGTTGATTTATTGCAGCACGGTTATTTAGTGAAAGGTATATCGGAATTTATATTTTAATATTATTTTAAAATATTGAGTAAAATTTTTTGAGTTGATTTAAATCTATAATTGACTAAACTAATTTTTATGTTGTTTAAGAAACGGATAAATGTGCTAAATGTCACATACCCATCTATAATTCAGGTATGAACTATTTCTTAGAGTGGTTCTCTTTTTCAAAATGATAAAATATTTGTATTTGTTTAGAAATTAATTCAAATCAATCAATATCAGTATTCTTCTGCCTCCATGTATTTCATTCTCAGTGTATCGAAAAAAATCCAGTAAGTTTTTCATAATTTCTATTTTAATTACTAGTGTAGTATACTCTGTGTATATTTTAGAATATCTGTACTGTATGTTCAACAAATGCTCTATTTCTATAAACAGCTAACAGATATGACTAAATATTTTATCTAACTGATTCTTTTTGTTAATTTTAATTTTTGTGAATATGATTATACATCAAACTTGTTTTTTAATCACTTTTTTGTATTCTTTTTAATGAAGGAATGTAAAAGATGTTTTTTTTCTACAATTCCAATTTGGAAAAGGTCCATTCATAGATCAGGCTTTCCTTGAATGAATAGAGCTCTAGCATTCGAATAGAGATATACGTCTATTGACATTTGCTTCACATTTGTCACGTTTTCTTTCCTGTTCCGCCGCCATTTTGTCAATGAACGAACAAAATGCGAGCCTATAACTGTTCTCTTTCCTCTTTTTCTTCTACACAGAAAGAAAACGTGACAAATGTGAAGCAAATGTCAATAGACATATATCTGAGATATATGTATATATCTATTCGAATGCTAGAGCTCTACTATATGTTATTAGTCATGCACTAATCGTTTACTGGAATGGAGTAGATTCATAAAACTAGACATAACATTCGATCAATCGAAAAGAATGCAATAGTAATAAATTCGTTTGGATTCTGAACATTAATTTAAGTCTTTTTCTTTCTGTTTGCGATTTAAGTATTGTATTGGTATATAATTCTTGGTTCTGAACTATATTTTAATTAAATGGTGAGCGTTTTATCAGTGCTCATTTGTTACCTGTATGTATTTTCTATTTTATTACGAGAGGTACTCTTTGTTATATATTTTTTTTGATTTGTTGTTATTTTTTCGGTGCTTCTTCTGTATTTAAAATTTTTTTATTTAAGTATGTCGTATTTTTAATACTTTACTACTGAAAGTGATTTGTGTAGAGACCCAATAAACACAAAAGCAATCGGTTTTTATACCAGACAAAAATCAAGAATTGGACAAGTGACTGCTTATTTTTCATTTAATTTGTTTAGTATTTGAATCTTAAAGTTATATTCCATTGGGTTTTATTAACAAAACTAATGATTTTGTGAATGATGATACGTCTGATTGAATTGTTTCGAGAATAGAAGAAACAACAGTATGTGTTTGTTTGTTTATATATTCTATTAGATCCGAATGTCTGTTATGAGAATCATCGTGTTAAAGATTTATTCTAAATTCATAAAAAAAACTAATTCTCAAATACCATTGTGAACAAATATTTGTCTGTCAATTCTATTGTTCACTTGACAGTAAACCGAATGATCAAACATTATATTTATCTGTATGTAGAAACTGATTGTGTTGAAAAATAAATTCAATAGGTAGGTAGATACGTATAGTTACGTATGTTTCTAAAAGATATAATAGATGTTTTAGTATTTTGTTCTGTTATGATTCAGTTGCGAAACTATGTTTTATTCTAAATTCAAAATTACATCATTAATGGTATCGGTTCAAAAGAGGATCGATATATTATCAAATATATCAAGATTTCGTTCTTCAGTTGGTGTTTTATTTTCTCTTCTATTATTGGAAAACATATACTTTTATTTTTTAAAGCTATAATGAAATTATTGCTCATTTTTTATATTTGTTACTGTTTATCATTGTTGAAATACGTCTTAGAATTTTAAACGTAAATTAAATTCAGAGAGAAATCAATGTACATGCAAGATGAAATAATCTAATTTGAAATTGCTACCTTCTCATGAACTAGCAAAACTATTTGATTTCAGACACAATTTCAATCTTGAAGAACGTTCCAGATTAGTCAATGCATAGTACACTTAACGCTCACTGAAAATACAATTTATCTTTATTATCGATAGTGTTTGATGCTAGGTATTAGAAGAATTTATAATTCAGTTTTATTCGAGTATTTGTAAAAGACGCCATCACTCACCAACACCCCCAAATTGCCTGAGACCATCCTAGATCGATAGAGCGAGCAAAATAATCCATACCAATATCCACCAACACCCACAGCGTTCTCGATTACGGGGCACCCTCTCGTTTGCATCCCATTTAGTTGTATTTTAGCGCCTTTTCTGAAGTCACTTTGATGTGTCTTCTGGAAAAGATGCAATAAAAAGTTTTTGTTCCTGCTAATAATTGAACTCGGTCTATTCGTTTACGAGACGAATGTGATGTTCATCACTAAACCACACGAGTTATTAGTCTTGTTAGACCCTTACATCGACATTTCGTGTGAGACATCGATTAAACTTCGAGACACATGGAAGGCGGGATGATGTGACTACTACGTGTCTTTCTCGTTCACACGTCTTCTATGCGACTCCAGTGTGACTTCTATATGCCTACCAGTAGACACATTGAAGACATATACAAAACACTTATTATTTTGAAGACGCAATCTAGTCATGTACAAGACACTTTTTCTCGGCAGACGCATCGCTGAAGTCGCATTTTTTTAGAGTATACACTAAAAAAGGATGTGATGCGTGTACCGTGATAAAACATGCTAATGCGGATCTCATCACTGCAATAAACGTTATCCGGCCCATATTCCTTAGCCTCTGAGAAGAAATTATTATACGTTCAGAATATTTTAGTACTTGTGCGTGCTCATACTTTTACATCGCTTTCAATGACACCATTTGGGATCTACTATTCTCGATTGATCAAGTCCGTACCCAAAATCTTTTTTATCGCTGAATAAATCGTTTTCGTAATTCACAGATGTAATAGACATAATCAGGAGCTTTGAATTTGTACATCTAGATGTATTCTGAGGTGAATATCAATAAAAAAAATTGTTTTACCGCTTTAAGAGATGTGTTCGTCGGATGAAGTACGTGATGGAAGATGTAGGTTCTAAGTATGTGATGTATGTACGTTTCTACAAGTAACCCAGCGTCCTAAATACTGTAGAAAGGATCAGTGGGTGCAAATACCCGTCCATCTCAATGTTTGCGGCTATTGGTGGGTGTTGGTAGTAGTATTCCATTCTGGGTACCTCAGGTTTAGATTCAAATGGGCGTTGGTGGATGTTGGTGTAGGGTTATTTAGCTCGCTGTATCCATCTAGGACGGTCTTAGGTAATTTAGGGGTGTTGGTGGGCGATGGCGTCTTTTACCAATACCCGTTTTATTTACACGCGAAGATTTGAGATACAATCTCTCGTATCTATACTAGCGCAATTAAGATTTCTAAGTTGATTATGCGATGTAACAAGACATATATCTGGACAAAAGCTTTATTTTCACGTTAGAACGTAACAATGAACGCTGAAGCTTACAGTTTAAAATTAAATTTCTTTTGCTAAAAAGATTTTCCTTTATTGATTTTGTCAGGCAATGAATTTTTTTGTTCCAAACATCTGCACCATACCAATACATGGTTATTTTTTAAAAAGATTGCGTTACACATCAAATCTAGTTAAGATAATATTGTGTATGTTTAGTTGACAAATAAAGAGTTTAAATCTACGTGTTTTTCCCTTCTTGATTAGAAACTCCCTTGATAACTTTGATTGAGATCAATCTCTATGGAAAATAAACTTTTCTTTTTTGTCTCTTCTTCTATAGTTTTGTATAATTTTTCATTCAAAGTCAGATAATCAGTATTATGTCCCGTTAGAGTATATTTACTTTGAAAAACAAAATAAAGTCAATGATGAACAAAAAAAAAATATGTTTGAATTATAATTATATTAGATCACGTATATAAGCTAGCGTGATTTTAAAGCTCTTCTCATTTTTCTTTTATTATGCACAAAAACTTTGATTTCAAAAATAGATCTGTGAGATAAAGAAATTATAATTGAATGAGGAAGATCAGTTTACGAAAAATAAGAGAATAGAAAAAAGAAAGGAGAAGGGAAGATAAAGTACGGAGGCGTTTCGGGAAAATATTGTATTTGCCAATTCACACTATATCAATTATTCGTTTGGTTTTATAAGTAATAGATCACAATTAACATGAATGCTGATGAGTTTCGGAAATATGGTATGTATGTGCTTTCTCTAATGCAGTTATATGTTTTTATACAGAGGCTGTGGATTTAAAATACACTTCAAAGTCAATAAGAATCTTCAATGATGTTGTCAAAATTGGATAAAATTTTCGGAGAATATTGTCCATGTACTGACATAATCCATCTGTAAGCTTTCCATCTAGTTTCTTTTCTCGAAGATATACCCACTCTATCGATTAGGTGTATGTCGTCACGGTATAAAAATAGTCATTTTTAGGTAACGACTTTAAGTGAGATCTTCTAGATCAAGAAAGCTGGGTATAATTGGCACTCTGTGTCAGCTTTATTTCTCGTCTTCAGATATTTTTCTTAAGGTTCAGCATTTTTTCTTACATTCTGATTCTCAAAACTGTTTTAAAGTACTCTCCACAAAGCGAATTAGATACTGTGGTTGAACATTAAGTAAGAGCTTTTCTGAATGTTCTTTGATAACAACACAAGAACTATGAAAGGTTTATAAGAGAGTTTCCAAACTGCCTAGTGAGTGTACTCAAGCATGAGTATTTACAGACGAAAAGAAAAAGTAACGTCCGTTTTCCTGGTTATGTCTGGGTCCAGCTATTTCACACTCTTTTTATGGGAAATGTTTGACTGGAATGTGTGATAGATCTAATATTTATCCAAAAGCTATCACATCAACAACAATCAAATTTTCTCGATTTTTCTTCTGAAATTACGACTTTACGGTAAAATGGGATTTCCTCAATGGAACATTTAAAATTGAATATCATTGTAGAGCATGCTGTAGTGAGATGCGTGATACTTTCATTATGTCCAACAAACTTTAGAATAAAACAAAAGGCGATAAGTTTTGATAGGTGGTAAATGACGACAGAGGACTGACTTATAGGGGTACTCATATAGAAAAATGCAACGAGTACTAATGCATTTTTTTCCTCACTAAGTAGTTTTATGAGTATTCATGTTCGAGTGTTGGGTATATGAGTACTACTTTTGAGGACTGCTGTGAGGACTTCATGAGTACTCAAATGAGATTTTACAAAATACTCATGAGTATTTTTGAACACTTTTTCGTTTGTCATTCTTTTAAGGAAATATCATTAGATCCTAAGATCAACGAGTATGTTCAATTTTAGGCAAAGAAATGATTGATTTTATTGCTGATTATCTTTCCACTGTTCGTGATAGACGAGTTTACCCAAATGTAAAACCTGGATACATGAGACCGCTAATAGCTGAAGATGCACCGCGAGAAGGTGAAAGTTGGAATAGCATATTTGAAGACATAGAACGAGTTATCATGCCTGGTGTAAGTGCAAATAACGATTTGAGAATAATGTGCTATGTTCTCAAAATCGATTCCTTTGAAAATTGTTATTAAAAGGATAACTCTGTAATTTAGATTACGCATTGGCAAAGTCCCTATATGCATGCCTATTTTCCAGCACTTAATTCTTATCCGTCGTTGCTTGGTGTACGTATCTAGAAATTTGTTTATGTTTATCTATAGCACTCATGCTTGTTTCATATTCTGAAGGATATGTTAGCTAACGGATTAGGTCAACTGGGTTTCACATGGGTAAGAACGAAAGAGAGTTTGAACGGTTTACACAGATTAATTGTGAGTCTGTTCCAGGCTTCAAGTCCCGCATGTACAGAACTCGAAACGGTTGTTATGGACTGGTTAGCAAAAATGATCGGGTTGCCAAATGACTTTTTACATTCTCATGCTGATACAACAGGAGGCGGTGTTATCCAAGTAAATAAGAGTAAAATTCTCGTACCTATCTATTAGGTGTAAACTGTTTTAGACTACTGCAAGCGATGCAACATTGGTCGCATTGCTAGCTGCAAGAAAAGAAGCTATTCATCGAGTACAGTCTCAATTTCCATACTTGAATCCATCTGAAATCAATGGACGATTAGTAGCTTATTGCTCGGATCAGGTAAAGAGAAAAGGATCAGATATACAGATATACTCTCTCTCTCTCTCTCTTTTCAAATAATGTTATTGGCTTCAGGCACATTCATCGGTCGAGAAAGCGTGTTTGATTGGTCTCGTCAAATTGAATCTAGTACCGTCGGATGATAAATTACGTTTACGTGGCAGCGCTTTACGACAGGCTATTGCAAAAGATAAAGAAAATGGTCTTATTCCATTTTATGTGAGTCAGATATTGATTTCTACAGAGAAATAGAGTTCAATACTTTTTCTAACTTTCAGCTGTGTGCTACATTGGGAACAACTGGCGCTTGTGCATTTGATAATCTCGTTGAACTTGGACCGATCTGTAAGTAAAATACAGAGCACGATCTTTGTACAAATCAATAACTCACCTCTTATGTAGGCGACAGAGAACATATATGGATACACGTCGATGCTGCTTATGCTGGAACAGCCTTTTTGTGTCCAGAATTTCGTCATTTTATGGATGGTGTTCAATATACACAATCATTTGCCTTTAATCCATCGAAATGGATGTTAGTTCATTTCGACTGCACAGCGATGTGGTTAGTTTTTATCTCTTTGAAATGCCTTCTCACACATAATTATTGTATTATTTACTTAGGGTTAAAACAAGTGCATCATTACATCGTGCGTTCAACGTTGATCCACTATATTTACAACATGAAAATGCAGGTCTTAATAAGCTTTTTGATCATCTATATGTCTTTTATGTATGCTATTATTCATTTTTAGGAGTTGCTATTGATTACATGGTATGTTAGCGCTCTTGTGAATACTGACGATGTAGAGATAAATTAACTTTATTATTTTAGCATTGGCAAGTACCACTGAGTCGTCGTTTTCGTGCACTCAAATTATGGTTTGTAATTCGATCATTTGGTGTTGAAGGTCTTCAAAGACATGTTCGACATGTAAATAAAACCTGTATACAATAGCAAGCCACTTCAAAGATACCTGCTGTTTTTCAGGGTGTGAATATGGGTCGTCTATTTGAATCCTATGTGAAATCAGACGAACGATTTGAAATACCGGCTGATAGGCATTTGGGATTGGTTGTATTTCGTTTAAAAGTATGTAATGTGTTATGAAATTATGGAGTAACACTATCATTAATTTCCTCTTATTTAGGGCGACAATGAATTAACGGAGCAACTGTTGAAAGAAATTAATGGTGGCGGACAAATACATTGCGTACCAGCTAGTATAAAAGGAAAATACATTATTCGTTTTACTGTTACATCAACTGAGACAACGGCGGATGATATCGAGCGTGATTGGCGTATTATTGTAAGTTAAATTAACTTTTGTTATTTTATATACAAGATTTGTTCACGCACTTTAGAAAGTAGCAGCAACAAAAATATTAGCTCCATTGATGAATGTCTCACCTCAAAGTCGTCGTCGAAAGATGCGCACGTTGCATGATGATTTCCGTATGAGTCTTGTCTTGTCCAACACTCCACATTCTCCATGTTTAATCAACGGCAGTTTTGCAGCCATATTACCACTGGATTCCAATCATGTATTTCAAATGACTCATGAATTGAGTCAAAGGGCGCTGAAACATTCACCATTTCCTGTGACAACGAGACGACGACCTAAGAAAATATTTGGAATTGATCAAAAACAAATGAGTGTTGATCGAGGATTGAAACCCATGCTATCTACTCTAGTTGATCATGTTCAAAGTATCCCCATTATCAGTCGACAAGGTAGTCTTGATTCACGTATCGAAGAAATATTAGATATGGAATCGACTGGTACCCATGGTTCATCATCACCGGCTGAAACACCACCAAAAGGTGGCGAACAACAGCAACAACAGACGACAACTATTTTCAATAAATCACCTAAAAATATGAAAATATCGTCAACAGATGAGCTTTCAAATATTTCAAATATACCAGCAGAAAATCATGATCTTCAAAATGGTCATGCGAGAGATGATAATGAAATACGTATAACAGTGCCACGTGTAAACAAATTAAAATGTAAAAGAATCATCAATAACTAACCAACATTTTTGAATAGTCAACCATAACAAACGAATGTTTTTTTTCTTGCCTCTTTCACTTATACATCATTTTTTGAGATTTCCAATCCTAATAAAATAAATATCTTGCGTGGTAAGCACTTAATTAACTTAAGTATAATAGCAAGTAATGCTAATTCTACCATAATAATATAATATTGGTGTTTGTACGCTTTTTTATCCTACAAAACAGTCAAATTTCGCTCTCGCCAGTATGTCTTTCCATGCTGACCTTTCTTTATCAGTTCCATTATAATGAGAATAATATTATTCTTAATATTTTCACATGCAATAAACGACCAACATTGAACAAATATCATTCATCTACCTCTTTATTGATCGATCTGTTTATATTTTGATTCATTTTATTACATTAAACTTGGTTATCAAATGATGATATCCATAATTCTATTCACAAACATCTATTCGCTAAATTTATAAATTTTACGTTAATATCAGAGATTGATAGATGCCCTCATCTGATCTAGATTGAATTATTGAGCCACATAAACTAAACAACATTGTCAGCAGAGAACAAAAGTATACACATAAGATTCATTTAGCGGTCTTGAAAAGTATAGAGACGAAAAATTTTAGAAAATTTGTGATATATTTGGGCAAATACCATCCGTAGATAAGAAAAAATCCAAACTAAAACATTTCTCATATATGGATGTGTAGATCTGACACTGATGCACATTATGCTATATTTGGTTTTGCTTCAAAATGGATTGCCCCCTGTACTGTGATGCGAGCTTTGACACTGAGTAAGTAAAACTTTTCCAGGCAAAAATAGTCAAAAACTTAAAATAATATTTAGGTCTCATTTTGTGTGAAAGAAACTGTTTTGAATGTTGTCTAAAATATCATCATGCGAGTTATATTAGCGAAGGTTTGACCGACATCTGTTTAACCCATACTTTATTCAAGTTTATATAAACAAAGTGTTTTTTTTTGTACCTAGAAAGAACAAAAAGTCTATTTTGTTCATCAGAATCGTCACTATAATACTAGAATATTTTGAACATTTAATTACTACTATTTTGTCTAAATGATGAATATGTACAACGATATTGGAGACAAAAAAAACACTAGACATTCCGCTATCTAGCATTCGATCCATTCTTGTCCGACGATTCTAAATATGTGTTTAGTTTTCATTGAAGATGTGTAGTAAATAACAAAAATGGAAAATACTCGAAAATGGGTATTTCTCGAGCAACATATTTTTTGATAGTTACATTCCCCCGCTCGCAATTCATCTTCGTTCTCAATGTTTTACATTACATTCATTATGTGTCTCAATGTTTAATGTTTTCCATCAAATAACTTATTGCGGTTCTTCAGATTAATAAAGAGATTTATATCTACTAACACCCTATTTCTGGAAATATCAACTTTTTTTTCGCAATATTGAACCTATGGAGTTTTTTGAAGAACCGAGAAATTATTTATATCGTACATGATAGAGAATTAAATTCACCACAAAATAAAGTCGAAATTTTTGACCATTTTTTGCCAAGAAAGATTTTACTAGGGTATAAAAACATGGGATTATGCAAGAAGCAATTCATTTTGAAGGAAAAACAAATATTGCATAATGTGTCCCGATCTACGCATTCGTACATATGAGATGTCTTAAGAATTGACGATTTTCGTCAAAAATATCGATTTTGAGAAAAGCGCATAAAGATATAGCTCCAAGTGTCTTCTTTCAAATGTACTAATTTTTATTCGCTTTAAAATATATTTTAGTGGTTTTCACAAAATTTTCTGAAAGACCTGTATAATTGTACACATCATAAGGTTTACAGATTAAAAAAATAATATTGAAAAAAACATATACATAAACGGCACATTTGCGAGCATATGCGCAGAATTTCCATAGTCCAAAAGTTATGACCTATGAAAACCCAACTTTTCGTGGTAGAAACAAATCAGAATTTGGGAGGAGTGTGTGGTAACACTTACTTTTTGACCTTTCCAGTAGCAAGATCTCCTTAACCATAGCAGATGACGCTCCTAAAAGCATTTTCTAACCTTATTTTTACTAGATCAGCATCCTCTGAAACTTTCATCCAAATTGAAGTTGTAGTTTCTGAGATAGGTTTCTGACATGTTCAAAATGAGTGTGACTTGTCTGTCTTTGTTCAAAATGAGAAAAAATATAGTAGTTCTGCAAATTCGAATTACAGGCACATTATAACAGTAGTACTTTACACTTATTCAATTATTGATCCAAATGATCTTTGATTCTAGTAAATGTTTTGGACTCGCTGAAAATTATACAGGGACATAATTGATCCTACTCTTTTCACATGTAGTCAAACGTACTATGATTTTCAACAGTAAATTCGATGATTTATTTGTTATAAAAGTTTTGAAATTTATTTTTCTCTTATATCTATGAGAAGAAACAATGTTTACGAAGAATTGCAGGTAAATAAATTTTTTAATTGGGTATATAATTATAAAAAAACAGATTCAGAAAATATTACGGAAAAATTTCAAGTTCTACATTGGAAAAGTGGATAGCAATTTTGATTCAAATTGAGATATAAAATCAGATGAAAAAATGGAAATTTCAAATTGTTCAAAATTTCAAAAGATTTGACTCGATGCAATGTGTGATGGAAAAAAAATTTTAAATTAAACACAATGCCACCACGTCATGAAAAATCATCGATCAACATCTGGTGCCAATATATCAGAATTAAACAATGATGAAGGAGAAGATCATCAACGGCAAGTAATGTGAATAATAAAATGAGTACGAACGAGTATAATCTTGTACTAGAGAAAAAAAAATATATAAGTCATAATGCTTTTTTCTTTTATATAATTTCAGCTTATTCGTTCAATACTACTATGCAAACTTTACTAATGCTTTTAACTATCCAACATATGGTATTATTTAAATTATTTGCATTAGATTTAAAGTCATAGACTTTATTCTCGTTTTATGATCGATAAGATCTATAACATGAGACATAATTTCCATGTTTTAAATCATATAATGATTATGTGTAAATTATTCATTCATTTATTTTTGACGTTTGTATAGAGCAGTTAGAAATATGAGTTGGATAAAACTCGAAGAATTAATGTATAGAACGTTATTTTGACCTCTTATCATCTTCGTTCAACATGTGTAATTTCTATCGTTGAAAAATTAGTACAATATGTCTAATACCGGTCATCGTCATTATCATAAATCATATCTTTTTTTTGCTCATCTTCTTATTTTTCTCATCAGATAGATTGATATCCGTTAAAACATTGCAACAATCTTTTTTTTCTTCTCCTTATATTGTATATACGCATATTGTTTTAATTTTCCCATCAGAACTATAGAATTGTTCACCATCAATAATTAGAAGATAACTTTGCCTAGGCTCTCTCATATATCGGATAGACAAATCAATAAACCGTGCAGTACGATCTATCACTGTCGAACATACATCTCATCTCTCATCTTTATTCTAATACTTCTGTTTTTCTATACACGACGACCACAATATATACATTTTTTGATTAATAAAATACTTAGCATAGGAAAAAGAAGTAAAGTAAGCATTTGGATATTTGTGTGATCTAAAAGTAGAACGATGATCTTTATTTCCTCTTATTGGTAACATTATTATTATCAATATATATAAACATCTTTTTACTTTGTATATGATATAACCTCATTATACACCAACTTGTCTTTTGGTTAAAACGTACTTTATGCATTCAAAAGATCGTATCTTCAATATGAACTGTTTTGTAATGAATTCTTTGAGTGAAAATATCTTTTTTTTCTCTATACTATCCATGCACATCAGTCTTTTAGTATCTAATCCTAAAATCGAAAAACATGAATTTTTTATGTGTTTTTTTTTTACACTATGATAACACTTTGATTAACAATGATACGATAGAAGAAATTGCTTAATTTATCCGTATGATTTAAAAATACCTTGACAAGCTTTAAACGCATGTGTTCCATCCATGTGCTATTGATGTATACTCTTTTATTTTTAATTACATCATATTCTCTATCTACGTAAGTTAATCTCTTTCTTACTGAGCGTGAAAACTTTTCTCTATTATCTAATCTGTATCTGGTGTAGGTTCGATTAGATATATTCTGTCACCAAAAACTGTATGTTCATAGAAATGGCAGAATTATACTGTATAGTTGAAAAGAAACTATCAACTCATTGTCAAGGATTGACTCTTTTTTCTCTTTCTTCGTATTTGTCTAAAGATTCATTAAGCAGAGATCATAGATGACATAATACGTATGAACATCTCTTCTTACATCTTTGACGCACATCTAGAAGCCATCATTGATTTAGTTTTATTTCTCTCTGTGATGATGATGGTACTAACGACGAAATATGTTAGTAATAAATCGATGACCTTGCTCCGATATTTTTATATCAAACATAATAGTTTTAATAGTTCTCTCTTCTCCTTGAATGTACTATGAAATAAAAGTACAATCAATATTTGTGTGTGTGCGTGTGTGTTAGAGGTCTACGATAAACGCATAAAATTAATGCATACAAGTCTTTGTTTTTTTTTTTATACTTTTTTTTACACCCGAAAATAAAAAGCTCACGCAATAGTAATAGTATAGATATAAGAACGTTATGATCGACGACTGGATTTTATTAAAGATGAATAATTATTGGTATAATTAGTAACTGGTAATTTCTTTCTATACTTTTGTATGTTAGTTAGTGATGAAACAGCAAAAATTTTTTTTTATATTTATTTGCCAAATAACTGTGACCCGTAGGGTCCTTACAGTACAAGAGCAAGTTTTACATAATTAGATAAATCTTACTAATATTGAGGACAACAATTCACATTAAAATAAAAGACAACAATAGCAATATCAGGGAGAAAGAGAAGTCAATCACACAGGCGTACCACAAAAAGAACAAAATAATACATAAAAGGTTTATTTAGAGAAAAAATAAAACATATAT